GTGGACTCAGATGCTGCAGTGAGACTGCTGAGGCTTGTCCTGATGCCTTTCCCCACGTACACCAAAGATGAGTCCAGGAAAGGCCTGGAGCACATCAGGCATGACTACATGGTGCTGTAGCTGGTGATCAAGGACATGGGCAGCTTAGGTGATGTCTTCTTGATTCTGCTGAAAAGGAAATGTCCTGGGAAGAGAAGGGTGATTCTGTGCATCAAGACTCAGTTGTACTGCTGTTGGCAACAACAACTTATCACATTTTATCGCCATGGACTCTTTTTGATGCTCAGGAACTGCTAGGAAGAGACAGGATTCATCTGAGCACCTAGGGGAAAAGCATCCTTACCAATAGGCTGGTGAGGAGACCTGCAACAGGAAAGTGAGCTGACTACCCGTATATGAGAGAGGAAGTGGACTGGGCTGACAAGCATATGGTATGCATTTATATGGACAGAAAGCACCTTGAAAATAAGAAAATGGCACAAGGGTGACTATTCCAGTATGTCCACACAAATTAGGAAATGCTGAGGCGACAAATTGCTAGAAATCTCTCATATTTTTTCTGGGAAATTAGCATGACTGGAAGACCATATGAAGTGTCTGTATACCAGTGAAGCATAGGCAACAAACAAGGAATTAGAACTCCATGTGCAGTTGGGATCATAGAGATGTTGAGATGGCCCACTTGGCTGGAGAGCTACAATGGCTGGATACAGGCTCCTTAGGAAAGACAGACTGGGATGGTAGTGAATGGGAGTTGCCCTTTGTGTGAGAGAGCAATGGGAATGTGAGAAGATCTACCTAATGATGCATACGAGACAGCTGAGACCTCATGGATCAGGAAAAACAGTCCTTTTAACATAGGTGATGTTGTGGTGGGTCTCTGCCTCTGACTTCCTGATCAGAGTGATCAGGCCTGTTATAGTGGAGGCTTCATTAGACAACTTGGAAGAAGCTTCACATTCTGTGATTCCCATGGGAGAGTTCAAGCACTTGGTCTCTGTAAAGGAGCAGCACAGCAGGGCACCATCAATCTGACATGTATCTGCAGTGCAGTGGTGATAACTTCCTCACTCATGTGATGAAGAGAAGAGGCACTCTGCTCAGCCTCAGACTTACAGAGAAGGAATAACTTGTTGGGGTTGGGAAGATCAAGGGCAACCTTGGCTGCTTAGTAGAGTTCATGATCCCAAGAGAAGAACATAAAAACTGAAAAGCGGGATCACAACCCTGGGTTTCGGAAGAGCAGACTTTGGCCTGTTCAGAAATCTTGGAATAATCCTATGAGTGATGGAGAAAAGACTTGCAAGGAAAACTCTCTCTAATGGTCCATTTAGACAAGCCAGAAATCAAGCAAAAATGGCAAAAGGCCTTCTTGGATGAATACGAAACTTCTGACTAGACTCAAACATAAAAAGAAATATAGATGTGATGGAAGCAGGAGTAGTTGACCTGGCAGGAACCTGGAAACACTTTCCAAGGAGAAATAGGTGCAGTTAGGAAAGCCAAAATTGACCTGGCATTGAATCTAATGATTTAAAAAAATTTTTTTAGGGGGCAAGTATTCCACTACCTAAGCCAAAAATACTTCATCTTCTCAGGTGCTATTCCATAACTCTATTCAATGCAGTTATCACTTGGAAGTTCAGTTTAACTCAAGTATGGCCAGTAGTTAAATCCATATCCAAGAGTTTTGTGACTTTATTTTTTGTTTCTTAAAGTGTAAATATGATGGATGAAATTTTGAGATAATGCAGCTTGGAAATCATCCCTGGATGTAATTGCAGGGGAAAATGGAAAGTGCACATTGACAGCTTTAAAATATTTTTAAAATATTCAGAATTAAGGAGATAGATAGCATTAATTTGTCTAGGACAGATAAATAATGTTGTGGGGTTTTTTTTATTTTATTTTTTAAATACAAGTTAACTTATGGAATGAACAGAGGAAGATGACAAGCAGAACATAAGAAGAATTACAGATTCAGATAGTTAAACGTCGAAATACTCTAAAGGAAATCACTAACAGGTAATTACTATTTTAAGTTCTGAAATTTTCCTATCTGCAAAACCACTTTCTCCTGCTTATATTTTTAATGTTGAACCTCTCTTTCAGCTGGCCTGTTAGACAGGAATATAATTTATAACTTAATAAGGACAAAAAGAAATGGGAAAGAAACATTTGGTAAAAAATACTGATTATATGTTGATTTCTTCCATTTTCTTACCTGGTACCAATCTACATAACAGACTTATTATGAAATAAATTACATATTTTCTTCTTCTCCAACATATATTCAGCCCACAAAACAATCTATTTGAAAGTAACAGCTCGTATCTGAGACACAGGGTAGCAAATTTCCCACAGTGTATCCTCATGCTACATTCCTGGATGTTACATCTCTTCTGGGGCTGAGCAAGTTGGATGTGTACCCTGTCCATTGCCTTGTCACCATTCACTTTCCCTCTAGAGAAATATTGGTTCAAGCACTTGTCCTTAGAATCCAGCTTGATATTTCACACTCTTTTCCTTCCTCTCTTCCCTGCCTTTTTTTTTTTTTCTCTGTGGCTTAAACCATGATATTTTCTACTCTGGCTGAAGTCTGACCCTCAAGAGCCTTGTGGAAGGTGTGAGCAATCACAAATGCACACTGTGACATGCACTTTCTCAGTACACCATTTCTCTTCCTTTATCCACTGTGACAGCATGGGTCATTAACAATAAGTGCAGGCTGAGCACAGTATCCCGTGTCACTCCTGCCTGCTCACTGAACTCCTATTGTTCATAAAATCTCTTCATCCTGAACTGATGAAATTCCTGCGGAGGATGAAAATCTGAAATTCTGACCTCTCATATCTTCAAGACTCTCCTGCAGCTGAATCCTGCCATTGTTTATTATATGCTTTTATCAGATGACTTTTTTCCCAGCAACCAAATTCTCCTTGCTGGAAGTTCATGAATGCTTATACCTGAAGAGGGGATGATTTTCTCACTCTTATTAGCACTGTACTCTTTCTCTCTTCCTCTCTTAGACTTCTCCCTTTCCTTGCACTCTAGGCAAACAAAGTTCAGCTTAAACCAGTAAAATAGCAACAAAGAGTCATGGAATATATGCAAACAAACTGGAATTGGCAGGTGAATTAAAATAATATGCTAACCGGTTATAATATCGTGCAGAATTAATAATGTGTACGGAAAGATTCACCAAGTTTTTAACAATATAATTTAATATATATTTAAAGGGGTGTTTTGAGGGTATAGGAGTATAAATATTTTCATTTTAATTTTTATGATCCAAATAGTTGTTATTAGGAGAATGCACTCTTTTCAAACACAACACTACTACTCGTTTCTGGTCTGATCGTAGAACTGGTGTCAATAGCTCATTAGAATGGAGATCTTTACTGTTCCACCTTATTTAATAGTAAGGCTTCAATGTTTCTCTGTGTCATCCAAAAAAGGAGCAAAACTGTGTTTATATAGAAACTCCACAAAGTCATGTAGTATAGTCTAATACAGTTGGAAGACAGTTTAGGAGCCAAATATAATGCCTTATTTAGTCTATTCAGGGAAGGTGAAGGGATCATTGAAAATATTTTCTTTCCTGCAAGCTGATTTTCTTGGTGAAAAGAATAGTCCCAGAGAAAGTTTGTCTTCATAAAATTTTAAGCCTCCTTTTCACCTGCAACTGTTTTTTCAGCATTGCTTATTGCAAGCAGATGAAGAAAGCTGTGTTTGTATGTGGAGCTTCAGCAAACCAAGTGGGACCTGGGAACCTGTCTCTGCTGTAGTGCTGTTAGCTTTGAAGTTTTGAAAAAGTCTGCTAAGATCACTAGTTATTTCTAATGGAGAGCATTACTTCCTAAGGGTAGCTGCTTTGAAGGCAGCTCTGTTACCATCAGTCTGAGAACTATGAGCTTGTCCTGACTGTTTGATAAATAGGAGCACAATGAAAATGTCTGTGTGTTGGTCTGGCTTTGGATAGGATATGATTCCCTTCATTTGTTGCTTGGCAATGTGTTCTCTTGCCTGCATCAGCTGGTGCAACTCTCTTGGTATAAAATCAGCTCTGGTAGTACTCAACCTAAGCTTTAAGCCTCTGCAGAGATGCAGAAACGTGGTAAGACAGAAGGGCATTTCAATACATTTTATTTTACTGTGTTGAATTTTGCCTTTCTGCAGTTGCAGAGCTGATGTTGAAGTTTCAATATTGTTTTCTTTGTATATTTTTTTAAACTGGAATGAGTGCATGAGATTGATGTGCAACTCCAGATCCAGAGTGCAGCTCTAGAACTTTGTGGCAAATTATACATGTGGGACTGGTGAAACTTACAGTGAACAGGAATTAGAACATCATAGATATTGCATTTAAAAATGAACAAGCTACCTGAATACAAGTAAAGGTATCTAAGCAACTTCCTTCTGAAGAAACAAAATCAGCTAATCTTATGGAACAGCAAAAGAACAAAAAACCCCCAAAACCCAAAGCAAATAAAATAAAAAATTAAGTAGATGAGATAAGAAGAAAAAAAGGGGAAAGGCTGAAAATCTCTACCCAAAAGAATTGGGATCAAATTTTACTTAAGATTTATCTTGACTTTTAATTCCTTGTGACAAGTGCAGGGAGTGGGGATGAAACTACACCATTATTTTATTATTTCTCCAAAAGATTTTCTCAACTTCAACTATTTCTCCGCTGCAGAATTTTAGTTTAGTTTTTTGATCCTTTAAATCCTGTAGACTTGGTCTAAACTCTTTTATACCTCTATATGTCTGAGATTTGCTTTCCAAGAAAAATGTTAGAAGATCATGTACCTTAAAAATATGAAAGCTTGCATTTTTTGCCTTTAAATAATAGCAAATAAAAATAAGTACAACTACAAAATATGAGATAACATCCTGCTGAAACAGGTGCATGGAGGATAAGGAGCATAGAGCACTTCCTCACTAAACAGAGGCCTATGGACCGTGAGTGCTCTCACCTGCTCCTACTTTCTGTTCAGGAAGCAGGATGATGTGACCATGGGCAGCAGTGGCAGCGTCTGGAGTGAGCAGCAGGCAGGCGAAGCCTACTTTCATCAGATGTAATGATGAATTTTTATTTAGCGTTTCTGAAATGTTCACACATGGTGTGCCACCTTGGGTTGTGCATGTGTAGGGGTGAAGGTGTGTGGGCGTGCTTTTTTTCCCGTAGAAATGCTTCTCGGAGCGGGAGGTTTTCATCCCACACACACACAGCTGAAAGCAAAGAAACCGTGTTTAGAAAGGTGCTAAATAAAGTAAGTGGTTGAACAGAGGCGAAGGAGGATGAAAGAAATCTGCTGATGCTGGTGTCGAAATAAAATGGGACAATTGTTTAAAACAAAAGCCTGGAATATTTTAGTGTCCTGAGATGATTTAATTAGAACTATGTAGGCCTGATTCTCGATTGTTTGTACCTTACATAATCATATAAATTGTTCAAGGTACCATATTGTAAGAAGGGGAGGCATTTACATTGTTCATCAAGAGTGAAAATACCTTAATGTTGCTGCATAGTTTCAAATATAATACATATACAAAAAAAAGAAGTCATAATATCTGTGCTTGGAAACAGTTATGATAGAATGTAGAACAGCCAAGAATCTCCAAACTGTTTCTATTTTAATTTGGCTGTTTGTGCACTATTAACATAACATTTATTATTTGAATACCAGCAAATTATACAATTATATCAAGATTCACATCTGGAAAGTCTCCACTGAATTTGCAGGGCAACCTTAGCTTTGCAAGGTACCTATTATAGTACACCACAATGTTGTAATATTATATATTATTGGGAAACTGGGATACGTTGTTTTGCAAGTATAACACCAGAGTTACCTAATAAATTTTAAGACAGAGGGGATTTTAATAATTCTGGTAGAAAATATTTTATCTCTTTGTCCCCACTTGACCTTATGTGTAATGTACATTTTTCTAGAAAATATACAGCACTGCAGCAGAGAAGAAGTCTGGTTGCTATAAGGTCTTGGTTGGCTGTCATTTGGGTCAGATGGAAATCCTCTGGAAGGTGGGAGGTAGCATCACCATACACATAATTTCCCTATTAAGCACATTTACATACCTAGAGTTCAGGGTGGCATTGTATGAAACAAATAGGACCAGAAGGACGGACCCAGGAGAAGACGGAGAAACTTCAAGGCTTCTCAGGAGAATGTGGGTAGCAGTAGGGCTTGCTCATAGTGGAAGATGACAGCAAAGAGTGCACAATGAAGAGGGGCAAGACTTCTCTGGGAGGTATATGCATTTTATTGTAAAGCAGGCAGTTGCTGGAAGTTAGAGGTCTGAGGAAAGGATCTGACCTCAAAGAATATGATACACCAGAGAAAGGATTGATTTCAGTCACTTTTTCATTTACTTCCCCAGGAGATCTGAATGAACCTGCAGATCTGCATCTGCTAGGTATAAAAAAATTACCTGTTTTAAGGCAGTGAATTTTGAGGGACTGCACTTCAAGGAACATATTTTGCAAGTGTAGAGTCTCATCATAGCAGTCATTTAGCCTAATTTGAATAACACTTAGACTTCCATGAATAAAAATTCTTGCTGGAACTAGCATGATAACTTCAATGATTATCCAGTCTTGGCAGTCAACTTCAGTAATAAAAATTTAGCTGTCTTTGGCAAGCTGTCCAAGGAGTTAATTAGCTTCAGTGTATTGTACCTTCTGTTTAATTTAGTGAATTTATCTCTCTTCTGTCCTTGTCTGTCATTAACTTTCAGTCTCTTTGATTGCAGTCTACATGGATCTTCAAGTTCTTAATAATTTTCTTTTAGGTAAACTCATTAGACACAGTTCCTTTTGTCTTTCAACATTTCCATGTTTTAATCATATTTCTGGTCTCCAAAGGCAGAGGGAATGTAATTTTATTGTGCTGTGTTCCACTGACAAAAAATTGCAGGTTAGACTTTTCCATTCACTGTTTCACAGAGACTGAACAAGTCTCTGAAGTTACACAGGCTCCCACAATGGACTCCATCCTGTAACATGAATGGAATAATTTCTTCCTAGGTCATATATTTACTCTCCAGTTGTTGCCACAGGCAGAGGCAAACACATTAAAATTATGCAGTAGTGACTTCTTTTACTTAAAAACATCTAATAAAAATAAGGATCTCACTGAAGAACTTGAAAGATCAGTGATTTTACAGTGTAGGAAAAACAGCCTGATCATTAATCTTTTCCAAAATTAAATTCTTCAGAAAGATGACAGTGCTAGTCCTAACTTACAAGACATAGGCATTACAAAGTTGATGTTAGAAATCAAGTGGCTCTGAATATCAGAGAAATTGAAAATCTTTCAAATGAAGACTTTTAAAAATTTATTTTCTTAATTTGTAATCAGTGAATTATATTACTAAAAATAATAATTCAGAGCAAGGGGATTTCAGTCAAAATTATTTAAGATACATCTATCATGGTTTCTACATGACTGATGTCTTGAATTTGTCTTGAAGTCATCTTCAGTATCACAGACAGACTATCACAGAGGTTTTTCCCAAGTAGAGCACATAAAAGGATAAGAATTTTTTTATTGAAGAGGTAAGGTTTGTGAATGGGGGAATTTGCAGTTCAGAGGCTGGAATGACTTTTAACATAATTTACTAATGTGTGTCCTGAGGGTCACATCAAACCACTTTCTTGTGATAACTAGTGTGAAAGCAGAACAAGACTATCACAAATTTAATTAGACTGGCCCCATAATTTATGCTGCTGAATATTGCTGGAATTGTTAATAGAACATTCATGTACTCAAAATGTATGGAAATAGCTTTCTTGCCATGTTATCACAGCCTCACAGTTCTATAAACAGTTTTGACTAAATGTGCACAAAAATATATTCATAGATGGGTAAAAATGATATTTTTCAGCTTTTCAAATGATTTGAGTATCTTTCTGCTGTAAGTCAATTTCATTTATATTTTCCATATAGGAACTGTTGATATTAAACTTCCCTCGAATGAGTTATAAGCAGGTTTTTGTTGGGTTTTTTGTTTTTCAACAGATGCTTTTGAAGTGTCTGAGAAACAAAATAATACCATGTTTACCAAAGCAGGAGAAAATGTTACTTTTACTTGCCTTTATAAAATTGGAGATTCAATGCAGCAAGCAATGTGGGAAAGGGTTAAAGCAGATTGGGTAGATATCATAATTCTGTGCAACTCTTCAGGAAAGCAAAGCTTTGTTCAGATTTCAAAGAGCATACACTGGTGGATTGTTCTCACCAGGAAAACTCCAGGATTGTCTTTCAAAACGTTACAGCCTCTGACTTTGCACTGTACTGCTGTGTAGCTGCTGGAAGAAACAAAACCTATGTGATGAGTTCTACTGTGGCTGGTAAGTGTTAAAGGAAGTGGTAAAGGAAGAAGTGTTAAATGTTTTCAAAACAGGACCTTCTGAGACATTAGCACTTTTACCCATACAAAATAACTCTTCAGTAACAAGTGAGGATTTATTTAAGTACTGCATTCCAATTAGCAGGATGTAAAAGATAGCAAAGTTAACAATCTCATTTCCACAGAAATAAGCTGGCTTTAAGCTTGTCTCATCTCATTAGAGGAGAGTAGAACTGTGAGCAACTGTTTTGATGTTAAGAATCATAGAATCACAGAATAGAATAGAATGGAATCATAGAATCATTAAGGTTGGAAAAGACCTCCAAGATCATCAAGCCCAACCTTTGACCAAACACCATCATGTCAACTAAACCATAACATTAAGTGCCATGTCCAGTTGTTTCTTGAACACTTCTAAGGATAGTGACTCCATTACCACCCTGGGAAGCCTGTTTTGATGCCTGACCACCCTTTCAGTGACGAAATTCTTCCTGATGTCCAACCTGAATCTCACCTGCTGAAGCGTGAGAGAACCTCTTGACCTATTGCTAGTTGCCTGAGAGAAAAGGCTGACTCCCACCTTTCTACAACCTTTTCAGGTAGTTCTAGAGAGTGAAAAGCTCTCCCCTGACCCTCCTTTCTGCCAGGCTAAAGACACCCAGATCCTTCAACTGCTCCTCGTATGACTTAAAAGGATGAGATGCTTTGGAATGGAAAAGACTGCCTTAGTTTGCAGGGAGAGGTGGGCCCCAAAGAAGAATTTCCCCAAGGGAAATTCCCCATAAGCACAGTGTACTGCAGGGCCCTGAGGATGAGACCTGTCCTCCAACGAAGGCAAAGAGCACACTCACAGTTGAAAATGTGGAATTTTGTAAACTGACCTCTACCTTATTCAGGGAGGGAGTTTCCTCATGAAGCTCTCTCAGCTATCTAGGTTTTGCTGTAACTATTGTCACAGTTAGCTTATAATGGGAGCTACATATCCCCACAGACAGACCCAAAATTTCTCAAACTGTGAGTTGAATTCCACCTTTACTTCTACTTTCTGTTCAGATTCAAAAAAAAAAAAAAAAAAAAAAGAAAAACAAAGAAAAACAAAGGCTTGATTTTGCTTCTTTTCTGTAGAACGCGTTTTGAAGACATGACTCTTCAAATCACACCACCCCATTCCTTCTTCTGTTGCTGCATTCAGTCCAGCTTTCATTTTTCTGCTTTTATTCCTGGTCATACATGAGTGTTAGTAGACATCTCTTTGGCAGTACTGAGGCATGGGGTGTAAAACTGCAGAATATATTTAATCTATGATTAGGTTAATTGAGAAGTGAAGGTTGTGCTTGCAAAAAACCATAATGACCTGCTTTATTCTGAATACTTGACCACTAAAATCCATGAAAGTCAGCAGAACGTGAGAATAGAGGAATTGAGAGAATAGAGAAAACAGGACAAAACGTCCTCTGACCTCTGACAATTTTAAACATTGAAATTTCAAAATGTTGACTTTATCAATATAACCAAGCACATCTTAACTGTAGAGCAATAGAAATATTTTCTGTTTACTTCAGGTGCAATGCTTCTCACACCAAAAGGAAAACATATAGTGAGTTGCAAAAAATTCATTAACTTTCAGAATGATCATTTCTACCTACATAAAGAGTTTAGTTTCCATGCTCCTTTTGCTCTTGTAACAAATTCAGCTTATGGTTTTTAGTCCTAACAATGGCAGCATAGTTATACCTGTTTATTAGAAAAAAAAAAAAAAAGAACATTCAAGAATCTGAAGTACACTATGATTCAGAAAAAACTCCCACTGTATCACTTCTAAGCCCTCACTCCGTATTATGAAGTGTATTTTGTTGAGTTTAGATTAATTCCAAAGGAAGCTAATTTTCAAGGATTTTCAATTATTTCTTTTTAACACCTGCAACTGTTTCATGACACATGATTAGTCTTTCCAGTATGATATGGAGAAACAGTGAGGGTAAAGAAGAGATTTACCAGGCATCAGCTTCCACCATACCTGGTGGCACAGCTAGAGAAGTCTCTCACAGACTCAGGAGTGACTTACTCTTCTTGATCCGACAGTTCTGGCGTGGTGCCAGAAACCTGCTACACTAATTTTATTATGTGTGTTCTACCAGTTCAGTCTTGTCAGTTTTGTCTAAAGGTTAATATATTTTTGCAAAGAAAAACAGCATGGATTTCCTGTGAAGAAAAAAGGGAGAGAGGAAGGAATAGGTATTCAAGCATTGTGAAAGCACTTCTTGCAGTTGTATCAGTAGAAGTCAGCATGCTGCATTTAATATTTTTGAACATTAGTGAAAATGAAACCATGAGATCAATTAGTTATCACTAAATTTATCCATGCTGTCCCACTAAATACTGTGTTATTTTTCAGAAAGAGGAATTTCCAGAAGAAATTGGACTTCTGCAAATATTTTTTGACCTCAAAACCTGGAAAATATAAAGCAACATGTATGTAAAATAGTGTAGCTTTTCTTGGACAACTCTTACAGAAACAGAAAGGTGAATATTACAAAATTATGCAATGCATTCAAGAGACTTGGGATTAATTTCTGATGTGTTCTTCACCATATCCCTCCTACTAAAAATTCTATCAATATGGAGATTTTTCACGACACCAGATTCCACATCTGAACCTATTTCTGTTTTTATTTCTTACTGTGCTTTTTCCTTTGAGACAGTCTTTGAAGGGAGGAAGCACACTTACAGTACTTACATTGTTTTGGTAGATGATTCAGAAAGAAGGGGAGGTGTTATATGAAAGAACTGAAAAATTAACAGGGTTGAAAGACCTAGACAATCCTGAAGACCTAGACATTTTTAGAAAGATTTAATAAGTTTTTTTCTTGCTTTAACAGAAAGTGGGATAGTAAGCTCTCTTGGGCAAAGTAAAATAGAAACATGTTTCTGTGTGTTTCCACTAGATCTGAAAAACTGGTTGGCAGTTGTATTTACATGTATGTTTAGGGGGTCAGAATTACATTTGTACTAGCCCTTTTACCAGCTTTTTTGCCTTCCTCTGCATGCATTCAAGCACCTTCACGTCCTTTCAAAGTTGTGGGGCCCAGAAGTGCATATGGCACTCAGAGTGAGGTTACACCAACGCAGTGGGATACCTCCTTTAATTGGTTGGTGATGCTGAGTTTGATGCACCCCAGGATGTGATTTGTGGGCACTGATCACTCACACTGAGACTGCTGCTGACCAGCAGCCCACACCCCTCTCTGCAGGGCTTCTTTCTAGCTGCCTCTCTCCCAGTTTTTACTTGTGTTTAGAATTATTCCATTCCAGGTACAGAGACAGGATGGTTTTTTTCCTTTCACTTACTAGATGGGTGACCTTATTGTAGAGGGATATCAGATGAGTTAAACAGGACCTTCCCTTTGTGAACACATGTGCCTTTAAATGCCTTTCAGTTGCACCCAATAGGATCTTCATAGCATCCAGATGAAAAGCAGGGGACTATTTGTCCAGTCACTGGGGGTTATCTTACAATCCTTGTGAGCTGGGAGGAGCTCTGGGCACAGATTTTCTGTCTGGAAACAGACAAAAGGTAAGACTGCAGTAAGAGGTTGAGCAGAACCAGGATAGGAACGAAATTAGCTTCCATCTTCCTTCATGCAATCATTCAGTGCAAACACTAGATATCAAAACATGTCTGTGGGTCTCTACTCAACAAACCACTGTTCTCTGGGCATGAATGCATTTGTGCTGGATTTCTGCCTTTCAGTTGTGGCAAAAACTATTTCATTGATATCTAGTAAGCATAACATATGTGCCAGTCCAGCAAGGACATGTGACAAAATACATGAAGGTCTTGACAGTGAAGTTCAAATCTCCTGTTAAAACAAATAACTGTCTGGCCCACCAGTGCTTCCTCCTCTAATCCAAAGTTGGTGCACTGAGGGTTGAAAACCTTCCTACTAAAAATTTTGTCACACTTGCAGAGGAGATGCCAATGCTATGAAGATGAGGTTGTCTACTACTTAACAGAAATTGTACTGATGCTGGAAATATACTTAATAACCTCCCGTCAGCATATCACCTTTGTTGAGAACATAAGAACTAAAGAGACACATGACAAGCCTCTGACATGTTTCTGCAAAAGCTTGACTGGGATGTCAAAGTCAGTAATTACAAAAGGTTTTGTATAGTTAAAGAAAACAAATGCCTAAGGAAGGTTTTGCTCACTTCAAATGAGAAAAAGCGTAAGGGCTTTGAGTTGTTGTTACTTAAAAAAAAAAAGAATCTAATAATTTTTCTCATCCAAATTTAACTGACAGCTGATAATCTCAGCTCTCAAACTCATTATCTGAGAGATTATTATCTTTACCTGATAAAACTGAATGTGAAACTTCAGAAAAAGAGCAATGAAGTCTGAAGCAGTTAAACTGAAGGGTGGGGATGTTTCTGAAGTCTGCAACTCTATCCAGATTCACCCATCCTTGATGACAATTAAATACAAGATTAAAAAATTTCCCTTGTTGCTTATAAGATATTTTCACATTTCTGTGAGTACTTACTGGCACAGATAATGATTTTCTATAGTGGGTGGCATAAAAACTGGAAAAAAAAAGACATTATCATCTGGACATAACTATATGCACCATCCTGTCATTTTAAGTATGTTAGAGCTGAAAACATTCTGGAAGTAGAGTGATTTCATATGCAGTTATAATACAAAATATACTGGGTTTTGTTATCAGACAGCCTTCTCTGCAGTGTCACATACCTAAAACATGTATACTTCTGAGAGAATTTTCTTTCTTTTTTCTTTCTAGTAAAATAACATTGGAATTCAAGATAAGGCTCTTCTGTAGTTGGTATTTTTCATTATCCTTTCCAATGAGCACATTAATAGTAAAGAAGCGTAGGTATGCAAGCCTCATCTGGTATTCAGGATAGCCAGATAAGAAACTGTGAACTTTTTTGATGCAGGAGAGAAAAGCCATCTGGTGATGGCTCAGCAGCTAGTTAGCTGGGATTATTGTTGTTAATGGTACGGATTATTTTCCTTTGCCTGTGAACTAAGCACATAACTTTCTTGTCTGCCCAGAATGAAAGCACCTTGGGGCAGCTGTGGTTTCACCTCCGTAAGGTGAGAAGAACTTTAAAGAGGGACTACACCTAAAGGCAGTTTTTTAGTCCCTGTTCACCAATGGATTGCTGAGGATTTGAGTTGTGACTTTGATAATATTACCTCTGTTCTTTCCTCCAATGTTTTTCACCTCAAAAATGAGTATTACCTCTCCACAGACTTGAGCACTATAAGAATATATTGGTTGATGCTTTGAAATCATTGTCTGATTTGTCTCTACCATTTAGTTATTACCCATTGCTCCTTAGTTTCATTGAAGACGTGACTCCAATGCATTTTAAGCAAAGTTACTATAAATTTCCTGCCTTGGTTGCACTTTTCAAAGAAAGCTGTTTTCCTTAGGCTAGAACAAATAAGGTGGGTTTCCTGATATCCCTCATCAAAACATGTACCATAGTAGGTGATTAAAAAAAGATGATAATGTGAGAAATTTTTGTGGCAATTTTTTGTTAAGAAGTAAACAGATTTCTTTTGAATTAGGGCAGAAAATAACTGATACAACTGTCTGCAGTAGGGAAGAGAAAATTGTTTGAGCACTGAGATAATGTTCCTAGTATTTTCAAAAATACCTTGCCACCCTTAGAAGTATTGAATTATGTATCTCTTATGGGGCAACCTTTACAATCACAGAACCACAGAATGGATCAGGCTGGAAGGGACCACAGTAGGTCATCTGGTTCAATCTCCCTGCTTAAGCAGGGTCATCCTAGAGCACATGGCATGGGATTACATCCAGGAGGTTCCTGAATGTCTCTAGTGAGGGAGACTTTGCAGCTTCTCTGGGCAATTTGTTTCAGTGCTTGGTCACCCTGCACAGTAAAGAAGTTCTTCCTCATATTCAGGTGGAACTTCTTGTTCATCAGTTCCTGTTCACTGCCTCTTGTCCTGTTGCTTGGCACCCCTGAGAAGAGCCTGGCTGCATCCTCTTGATGCCCTCTCCTTAGATACTTGTGTACATTGATGAGGTCCCCTCTCAGTCGTCTCTTCTTGAGGCTGAATAGGCCCAGTTCCCTCAGTCTTTATAAGAGAGATGCTCCAGTCTCCCGATAAGCTTCAGTGCCTGGTAAAGTTATGGAGATTATTCTGGGAAGTATTGAAAAGTACTGAAAAACACCTAAAAGACAACTCAGTCACTGGTCACAGCCAACACAGCTTGAGGAGAGGAAAATCCTGCTTGTAAAACCTGATTTCCGTTCATAACAAGGCAACCCAGCTAACTGATTAAGGGAAGCCAGTTGATGTAATCTTTTTGGATTTCAGTAAAGCTTTTATTACTGTCTCTCACTGTATCCTTCTGAAAAAATGTCAGCATGCAACTGGATAAACACATCATGTGATAGGTGAGCAACTGGGCTCATGGTCAAGCACAGAGGGTGACAGTGAATGGGGTAACATCAGACTGGCAACCTGTCACTAGTGGGGTTCCACAGGGCTCCATCTTGGGCCCTCTGCTCTTCAACATCTTCATAAATGACCTGGACACAGGACTCGAAGGGATACTGAGCAAGTTTGCAGATGACACAAAACTGGGAAGAGCCGTTGACTCCCTCAAAGGCAAGGAGGCCCTGCAGAGAGACCTGGACAAATTAGAGGACTGGGCAATCACCAGCCATATCGAATTTAACAAGGGGAAGTGCTAGATTCTGCACCTGGGATGGGGCAACCCTGGATGTTTGTACAGACTGAGGATTGAGATGCTGGAAAGCAGTGCCATGGAAAGGGACCTGGGGGTCCTGCTGATGGCAAGTTGAGCATGAGTCAGCAGTGCCCTGGCAGCCAGGAGGGCCAACCATGTCCTGTGGAGGGCATCAGGGCATTGCCAGATGGTCAAGGGAGGGGATTGTCCCGCTCTGCTCTGCACCTTGAATATTGTGTGCAGTTTTGGGCACCACAATAAAAGAAAGATATTAAGCCATTAGGGCAACAGGTATAGTGAAGAGCCTTGAGGGGAAACCGTATGAGGAGTGGCTCAGGTCACTTAGCATGTTCTGCCTGGAGAAGAGTAGACTGAGGGGAGACCTCATGGCAGTTACAACTTCCTTGTGTGGGGAAGAGGAGGGGCAGGCACTGATCTCTTCTCTGTGGGGACCAGTGACAGGACCCAAGGGAATGGCCTGAAGTTGTGTCACGGGAGGTTTCAGTTGGATATTGGGAAAAGGTTCTTCACCCAGAGGGTGGTTGGGTACTGGAACAGGCTCCCCAGGAAAGTGGTCACAGCACTGAGCCTGACAGAGTTCAAAAAACATTTGGACAATGCACTCAAGGGACATGGTGTGACTCTTGGGGATGGTTCTTTGCTGGGGTAAGGTTTGGACTTGATGATCCTTGTGGGTCCCTCACTCAGCATACTCTGTGATTATGTGAACTTATGCTGAACCTGCTTGAGGAGCTCCATGACTCCAGAACTGGACAGTGTACCTCAGATGTGGCCTCACCAGGACTGAGTAGAAGGGCATGATCACCTCCCTTGACCTGCTGGCAATATTCTTCCTAATGCATCCCAGGATTCCATTGGCCTTCTTGGCCACCAAGGGCACACTGCTGACTCAGGGACAGTTTGTTCTCCACCAGGCCCCCAAGTCCTTCTCCACAGAGCTGCTTTCCAGCACATTGGCCCCCAGCCTGTACTGGTGCATGGGGTTATTCTCCTCCAAGTGCAGGACCCCTCAATTGCCTTTGTTGAATTTCAGACAGTTCTCTGCCCATGTCTCCAACCTACTGAGGTCCTTCTGAAGGTACTCTGGGGTATCAGCTACTCCTCCCAACTTTTTGTTACCAGCCAAGAATATTCACTTAAGCAGCCCAAGAGCTTTTATTAACCATATATTGAGTCACTTATGTATGGACTGCTTTCTCACCAGGGGAGGGAAGAAGATACAAAAAGATTATACAAGGCATTGCTATTTTTTCCATACCACTGTGCTGTGTTCACTCACCTTTGGTCATCCCAGTCGCAACTTTACTAAGAGCTAGTTCAGTGTAACAAAGGCATTTTAGAAATGAGAAAATTGTGACGTCTGAATATTGATCATGAGCTGTCATGGAATGATCTCTTTATATAACCATTGATTTTTCAACTTAGTTTGTCTTAAAAAGTTCATGCTGATCTGTATTTATACAAAATACTAATCGTATTTATTACAATCATATTTTAGGAACTTAGGATCACAAATGGTTTATTACCTACATAGCTGGAGGGATTTTTCCTGCTGTTTTGCTGTTATTTTTCCTATTGATCTTCTGCATCATCAGTGCTTTTTGCAAAAAGTGAGTAACAAATCAATTTGCATAATATACTGAAGCAGATAAGTATGAGTGTTAACAACTCATCCCTACTATCCTATTCAGAACTAACTAAAAACAAGATCTCCGTGAAAATTAAATTTTATCATCTAAATTTTAATTTTGAAATAATCAGTTCTACAGCCTATGAAAAAAAAGATATTTTCTGTTTGGTTTTTTTTTCCCCTTTTTCACCTTAGAAAAACAAATGGCTTACTCAAGTTCCTTAGTCAGCTAAATGCCTGCTGTGGTATTAGCTGAAACAACATGTTAAGGGTGATTTGTCAGGAATAACATCGAACTAGGCATAGGCTATTCCTATTTTGTGCACAGAGGAGGCTAGGTGACATCTTGAGGTTTTCTAGATCTTCTAACATACTCACAACTGGATCCAAACTAATAGTTTAAATCATTATCTCAGTTTGCTATATTCCTTATCAAGTATCGCTAGTAGTCTGGTCCAGAATCTCTCTGCTTCCAATGAAAAGAAATAATGAGCAGAAAATCTATTCCTTCCCCTAGCACAACATATGAGGCCGCTGGAACTTTTGGACAACATATTATTATATTTCCTCCTGAATCAAAGGGCCTTTTCAGCTGAGTCCAGGCTTTTATGAAACAGTGTTAATCTTATGCATATTACAGTTTCCAAGTCTACCTGGATTTTTATGATATTTATTGATTTGAGTGGGAAAGTAAGCAATTACCAGCATTATCTCTTGTATGCTGAAATTAGATATTTTCATGAATGATACTGAGCTTCTGACTAAGTGTATGTCTTCAGAAAGAAGAGTAAGAGGATCACAGAGGCCTTATCAAAAATTTTGTACTCTATTCAAACCTGGGTAAGGTCACCTGAATGAGATGGAGTTACTCAGGTTTTGTACTGTATATTTATTAAGATCTTTCTCTTCTGTATTTGCTCTTTATATCCCCTGAATCTTAAAGTAATCTTAGAATATATAAACAGGAAAAACTGAAAATTTTAAAGTCTGATTACTGCTATTAATTATTTTTGATGAATATTCTTTAATGTTTTACAGCTACATTTAGAGATTCTACTCTGTTCCATATTATTAACAAATTACCCCTTTTGATTTGATAGTTTTTCTATTATTTGTGTGTTATTGTCTTTTCTCCTCAAGTCACCACGTATAAAACTGAAGTAAAAAATTGTATTCTATGATATCCTTTGTCTTATCTATTTCTTCCAGTTCAGCTTCACTGTAATTCTTTGGGACAGCTGTTTCAGTGTTTCTCTTTTCGTGCTGTAACAATAAATGCTTTGGAATTCTGAGTCTTTCTTCCTCCGTAATAACCCTATTCAAGCCCTGAAATTTAAAAGAGGAGACATAGGAACCCATTCCACTGTTCTGCCTTGTCCCTTCCATACCCTAAGCTGGGGTATGAAGTTATGCTGTGTTTAGGGAGATTATGCCATTCTCACAGTGGATATGAAACTGGCTTTCCACCTATTTTCTTTTAGATCTCACTCTTGTATGATCTGGTGGTAAGCTCCACTGCCAATATGTCCTTCTAAAGCCTATTTTTCTCATTCTCACTGCTGGGTCACTGTTTTACCAGGATGAAGCTCTTCATACAGCAATCAAAGTGCTTCAGTAACCACCTTTCCTGCCATGCCAGTTCACCCAGGCACTGTCACGTGAGGTTGTCATAATGAGACTGATTTAGGAGAGACGGTGTCAGTATCTGAAATGTGTATGCGAGGGGAAGGGGGCATTTCACTGGTGCTTTACCAGGGACCTGATGTGGGACAGCTGGGAAGTATATTCAAATTGGAACCTCTTTTTTCTTGTGACTTGAAGCTGAAATGTATTCATAGAAACCAAGAAGACAAAAAGATCAAACTTTATTGATGGTTATTTCCCAGCAATAAATCAGCATCTGAGGAAAAACTGCCATTTTCCTCCTTTTCCAACGCTGTAGCTGTTTTGAGAAAAGTTCATCAAACTTTTTATTTTATTTTATTTTTTTTTCTTTTTATTTAATATTCCTCTAGCCTGCTAAGAGTTATAGGAGATCCAATTGTCATGGCACATATAGTAGCACAGAAAGAGGAGGAGAAGAATCATCACTCGGGCAGACAGAGATTTATGTCAGCTACAGAAATGTCTCACACAGACCTAAGAAAAGACTATTAGGTTCTTTCTTAAGAATGAAGTAATCAAAGCACAAGCCTTTTATTTGCATCAAAGACTTTTTTTTTTTGTTTTTGCACTGGCAAGATGTGGAAGGTCAAACTGGCTATGCTGGGCACTGCCTGGGCCAGGCTACTCCAGGTGTGTCAGTGTTGTATTGCAGCCTGCAGCATTAATGTATCCTTTGATTCATACGCAGAATCAGGTATTATTTGTACTTTTACAATTGAAACATTTTTACCCAGTAGCTGAACACTTAAGTATCAATTTTAGAACAGCTCTGATGTGCAGAGTGGAGCTGCATATGTTTACATAAAGTTAATTTAGTCTGAGAAATCTACGTGTATGAGAATCTTATGTGACAGGGTGATAAAGAAAATGGGCTCGATGTTGTCCATGTCCATGATTTTTGCAACTCAAATTGAGAGCTCTATGGAATAATAAATACCCATGGTTTTCCACACAGGAGGTGTTATTTTGCTGCTGGGCAAACAGTACTATTCAGCTGACAAAAGCAAATATATCAGGGCTCCTTGAACCTAGATTTAAAAGTATGCACAGAAGCTTGGTATCTGACAGCTGTGTGGTTTTACAGACTTCTTGCCACTCACCACAGTTACTTCAGTGTTTTCTATTTGGGGATGGAATAGAAGTGTAGACCCCTGCTCTCCTCTCTCCCTCCCTCCTTCCCTTCCACCTCTCCCCCCATTACCCAGAAGAAAATAAAACATGAAGACTCTGTCACTGTCAGATTATATTTAATAATTTATTATAAGGTTTAGTAGCACAAAAAATAAATGAGAACATGGAAGGTATATGAATAAATGATGCAAAGCAGAAAAACGCATGACTGAGAACATTTACAAAACAATACACATACATATGTCGTTGTATGTGTGCATATGTATATATTCTGCTGAAACGTACAGAAGAAATCACACAGAAATTGAACAAACAGACAAAAAAAATTAATCCTTAAAGAAACAGAACTAGAAGGCAGACCTGAGAATTAGGATCTACACATCTTTTGGCCTTTTACAAATCTGCTGAATTACTGAGGACAGGATCCCAGTAAATGAAGGTGTTACCAAGATGGCTGCATACTACAAACTGTGTGCCTGGCCCACCTATGCTTGGTTCCCCTTTTCTCTTGAAGTGTACTTAAAAATGTTGCTAGATATGATGAGTATTTGGGTTTTTATTTATTTATTTATTTATTTTTAAAGGGGCTAGTGGCAGAGGCATCATAAGTCTACCTACAAATCAGGTACCATTTCTACTCAGCTGGCTAGAAAGGAAGCTGACATTGAACAGCACATTTTGCGTTGCCTTCTCCAATGGAAAGCTTTCTTCACGTGCATGGCAAAATAGGAGTCTAGGTTCTTCTGATAATAACATGGACACAAGGCTTCTCTTCGCTATTTGAGCAATAATAGCGTCATTCAGCTAAAAACCTAAAATCCTAAACTAAAGTGTCCTTTCAACTTATCGCTGAAGACTTAAATTGTTTACAATTTCATATGCCATTAGAAACCATCTTATTTTGGTTTTGTGTACTCCTGAACAAGGACACATTGCAAGGGATGTTTTTTGTTTCCTTATTTCACTTACTGAAGGTTTTCAGATATATAAATGCTTGCATGTGAAGTTGATGAGGATACACAGAACGGTACTACTAATAAGTTGGTTTATTTCCTGAGTTATCAAATGTCATAGCAGATAGTTCTAAGTTGTACACAGCGTTACAAATAAAACCTTGTAGCATTGGGTCATTTCTTATGATCCCATTGGTATTAAACAGGTAAAATGACAATGCAATGGATTGGATTACACAGAGGTTCTCAGTTGGAATCGTGACACAGAAATACCCATAAGCTGAGAAGATGGTATTGTTTCACTGGTTATAGAGACAATCAAAATACGTCCCTACTTTACTGAGGGTAAAAAAAAGGGGGAGAGGTTGAAGTTAAGTAGCTGGAATACCAGATTGTTACGATTATTTCTGGTAATGCCCTTATTTCTTTTCCATCTTGGTACTTTTAGCTTGATTTTTCAAAACAATTGCTTATTTTTGAGATTGCAGGAAGAAAACAAAATCTGTAGTGCACATCTTTGCAGGTATTTAATCTGTTTTAATTCAAATTCTGTAAACATATTACTTCTAACAGGATAATCCACAGGGAAAATCACATCACACATAGCATAATAAGAACAATATATTATTTTTTTTTCAAAAACAGACCCAAAACAACAGCTTCATTTTTGTACCATAGTAATATCAGTGAACAGCAGCTGAACAAGAGACCGATACTATTTAAAACCAAAACCAAAACAACCCAAAACGTATCAATATTCTCACTGATTTAAAAACTAGTAAGCTACACACAAGAGAAACTTCCAAAAGTTCAATTTGAAATGTAATACTAAAACTCTTTAAATATTTTAGAAGTCTGTCAGAATGGGACCCAGCAAGAGTTTGTTTGTTGTTTGGATTATGTAATTATACTTTCCAGTGCAAAATAGTACAAACTATTGTTTATTGCTGTTTAGTTTCAATATTTACCATAGATTTGTCCTATCTTTCTGGAAATTTTTAAATTTCTTTTGAATAAAATTCATCAATTGTAATTTGGAAATTTTATTTTGAACAATTACTGTGCTATTTCATGCTGTACCAGTCGCTCAAACAGTTAAGAGGCAGAAAAAATAATCAAGGAAGCAAAATGACACAAACATGGATAGTAATCAGCTCAACATACCATCCAAACTGCAAAATAACTCTGTAGTTGTTTTAAGGTATTAGAAACTTTGCTGAAATGAAAGAAATATAATAAAACGTGTTGTCATTAAAAAAACTGCTCTTGAATACCTTTAAGGGTATTCTAGCGTAGCTACCTTCTGTGTGACTGGAAAATGAAAATCTGAGATTAAAGAGAAGTAAAACCTTTTACGTAACAATAAAATTAATCTTTTATGCTGGGTCAAAAATGTAAATGTTTAAGTTCAATTTTTAAAGGAAAATTCAGTGATTAACAGTACAACTACCGCCTTTAAAGGGCGTAAACTCACATCTCGTTGAGAAAGACTTCTGAATGTAGGAAAGACAATCAACAGTTTGGATGAACAGGACGAATAATAAACTCACAATTTACGAAAGAAGGTCGAAGTTAGAACCTGTTATTTTCTTTTTCATTTCAGATACTTTCCTTTAGCTTAAAGAGCTGCTCTGACACTGATATGTTCATGATACTGCTCTTTCTGCTTGTCTTCTGCTCTCCCATGGCTGTGCACCTTGGGGTAAAACAATGTTGCTGTGAGGAAACTGACTGCTTTAAGGGCTGGACCCACCAAGGAACACAAGAAACTGGGCTCCAAACCCCCACATTTGGCAGGGTAGTCCTCTTTCTGACTTGCACCTGCCCTAAATTCCCAGCCACCTTTTCTGTTAGGCCCCTAATTTTTTTCAAGAACACTCAGAAATAGCTTGTTCTAACCGTGCTGTGCAACTTAACCACCTACCCCCTCCCCAGGTCTTATCCCAGGACTAGGAGACAGCAGAGGACTAAGGCAACAAAGCAGGCAGAACAGTGCTACCAGCATCTGTTAGTTTGCTCGTGAGAGATCCAAATAAGAAACCTTACTTCAGAAAAAGATTTCAGATTTAGAGGATTGTTCAGAGGATTGATTTCACCACCAGATTAATTTCTAGTGGTTTTTTTTCTTTTTTTTTTTTTTTAAGAGGTGAGGAGGATTATTTTTTTTTTGTAATCATAAAGATGCCAGGCACCAGGACTCTGATTTTTAAATTTTATTTTTAAATCTTATGTGCATCATGCTCCTTTAAATCTAATCTGCTATTGAGATATGTGAAAGTTCAAATCAATAGTATTTATTTACAGTAGTTGAAGCTCTGCCTCAGTGAGTACTCCCTAGCGCAAATGAAAGACTTATTTCCTTTAAAGCTGAGATGCTCAATAAGACTTAACTCCCTAAACAGCTTTGTAAGCCTGACATTAAGGGCTCCTTCCAAAAACATCTCTGTCTGTCTACAAGATAGGTGCTAAAATATTCTTTTAGACTGCAGTCCCCAGGAGTAGAAGCTACACGCCAAGTTCTCAGACTGTGTTATCTGACGTGTAAGTAAGGCAACATAAAAGACATTTCCAACACTCACACATTCCTGGGGAACTGTTTTGGGCTAGAGCACAAGATCTACCTTCATAACCATGCCTTACTGGGATTTGGTGTCAGGGTATGTGGGCTCAGGGTGGTCACAGTCCTTTTGATATCTAGTGCAAAAGGTTCCACCTTGAGGCTAGAGACCCACAGTAGTCTTCGGAAATGGGACCAAGCTTTTCACCATCCTATGAAATGCTGGTTCATCCAGCATCCTACCTGCCAAATCAGCCAGCAGATGGGAGAGCGTGGCCCAGTTCTCCCCCAGCCTGCACCAGACACCCCCCACCCCCACCCCCTTGCTCCCTGAAGTGGCACAGAAACAACTCGTATTTTAAGGACGGAGAAGAGCCTGCAGGACATTCCTTCAGCAGGAGTGTCCTTGTGCCTGCTTTTGCCCATTACCTTTTTTTTTGTTCTTTTCTAATACTAAAATGCATTAAGAGTTATGAGAAGAAGATGAGCATCTGGATAACCATGGGATAAACACATGATGAGTTTGCCAGCTCTTCCTTTAAAGCAGAGGAGACTCAGGAACATTGAGATAGCCTCACCTATGGTACCTCAGAGACTACTGAGGCAAGCTGCCACCATGCCATGGTACTGTGCCATTGCTCTGACTAGTTTCTTGGCCCTGATTAGGCTTGATTTATAATGCTGTATATTTACCTTACTATTTGTGCTAAAGTCTTGCAGTTATATATCCCTACATACAACTTAAGACACAGTGTTTGAGCTAGAAATAGTAAAGGAAATGCAAAAAGCTATCTAAGGCAAGTTTCTAAAGAATAATATGTTTATTACTTCCACGCTATCCACAATGTTAGCTGGTGTAATTAGATAAAATAAGTAATATGAATTACCAGCAATGGCTGACGTATTTCTTCTAACCTTATGCTTGCTTAAAATGAGAATGTTGTAGTTTCAGAAAAAAATCATCTCAGTGGTTCTAAAGGATATTTAACACTTCTCTTAAAAGTTTACACAATTAGGTTGTTACATTAAATAATTTGTAGTATTAACCAGTAAGTTTTATAAAATGATTTAAGTGATAGCTTATCATACTAAGGTATAGCCAAACAAATACACAGTATCTTTCTTTTTTTCCCAATACCTTTCTCTATTTGTGCTGATGTCTGTATGTCTATTTGCAGAGAGAAATTTGTTAGAAATATTGACATGTACTAAAATTAATTCCTTTTCCCCTCTGAAATAAGACTCTGAAGCAGACATTTATTATTTTCTTTTAAATTTCTATAATTTACCCAAGAATGGTAGAATGGGAGGACCTTTCCCACAGAACTCTGTCAGATCATTTTGTAATGAGATGAATAAAGGTTGAGAACCTATTTATGTATTTTTATGCATCATAAATGAAGATATTGCTTTTATTACCCAGAATTTGATCAGCCATGAAATACTCTAAATCATATTATTAACAACAGCTGGCTGCAGTAACTTTCACAAAGCTGTGTGATAACAATGGTGGTGCATTGTGCAAACCACTATTTTTTCAAGCACCTATATTGCATAATACATGTTAGGCAGACCGGCACTTGGTTATTCCAGCCAGGTGAGGGAAGATGAGACCAGCACTCCTGACTCCACTGTTGTAGAGTAAATTAGTGCTGAACACAAAACATTGTTTCCTGCTCCTGATAAATTCAGAAGAAGTTAAATGCTTCAGGAAACTGTTTTGCATTCTACATGGCCCATTGCTGTGTGCTTAAACGTCTGTTAATTGCTTCATAATATTTTTAAAGATTACAGAATCTGTTTTTATTTTTGTTGATTTCTTACACTGTTTTCAATTTCCTTTCAAGAAATTCTCTAGCTTTCTATAATGATGCTTTTCAAAGAAGTAAAAAGAAATAAAAGCTTAGTGTGTGTCATTCTTTTGTAGAAACTCCTAACACTTTTTTTTCTGTATCGTCTGTTTTTCCTTGTAACCATCTTAAATCAGAACAATTGACACAAAGCAGTTCTGGATATCTCCTGTCACAGCCTGTCATCTGTTGAAGCTCAGGAAATGCAACAATTAACACCAACAAGGACAATTTTATTTTACATCATTTATTCTGTTGTAACTATAGGAGCAGCAATGAGAATAAATGTTTAACTGAAACCTTTATTTTTGTTACTGGTATGGAATTGCTAAAACAGCTGATTAATTTTGTTCTATTTTCTATGCCCACTGTTGTCTTGCTATCATAAAATTAAAAAAAAAAAGTCTGAAAAAAAAGTGTAGCCTAATTAAAATTTAACATCATTCATGTCAAATATTCTCACAGGAAAAAATCTACTGTAGAATGTATTAATACACTTGACAACCCCAGGATTTTAAGAGAACACAGTAAATCTATTTAACCTCGTGAGCATTTATGTAAAGCAACAAAAAACCCCAATGAAATTAATTCTTTAGGATTTTGAGTGTGATATTTAAAAAGATTAACTTCTTCATATTAGGGAGCATGTTACTTTTTGAGCTTGCATTTAGTTAAAAAGGAAATATTGTCTCTGTTACAGCTTGCAATATCCATAACAACATGGACATTTTAAAATGCTTTAATTATATTTAATCATACTTAAACCTCAGTTCCTTTCATATCTGTTTTAATCATGTCTGTAAAAATCTGTCAAGTCGTATATGCATGTAAAGATGTGAAAAGCATCTCTGCAAGGTGAAACTTCTATTTTCTTTAATAGCACCAATTCACCACTGGATTGTACTACTTAGGTTTCTAAGCATAATGCCATTTCAACACTTGCTGAATACACAGAGCCTTCACCTATCACCTTTTACTGTCTTGTAAGGACTTGGACAGAGAGGACCTTGTTACAAAAAGTGAGTCAATATTCTGACATTTCTTTCATTCCACCACATGCCTATATTTGTTTTCAATACACTGTATCTTTTTCTCTAAAAAAAAAAAAAAAGGAAGAGCATTTATTGATACTATCAAGAACAAACACAACACCCTTCGTGGAGTGCAAGACTTTAAAACTGCAGACTTAGTATATCCAATCTTACATCCAACCTTTGTTTTTAAAGTTATGCCATTACAATGGCGTTGCACAGTCACTACCTTCATCTCACAAAACATAAACAGGCATACTGACCAATTGCCTGTGGTGAAAAATGTAAAATTCTAATAGATCATGTTGTGTGGTAAGTGCGTTTGGAAAGAGTCACAAGTATTTGGATGATGTATGGAAAAATGAAACTTTCCACTGCTGTTGGATCTGTTCTTGTTATCAAACAGCAGCTTCTCACAATTTCTCCCCTGTCCAATGTATTCTGTGTGTGGATAAAAACCACACTTACTCCTTTGCAGCAGGTATAAAAAGGAGCATAAATACACTCATATTAAACACTAAACCAGAGATTAATTGGAACTCATTACTCCTTCTTTTTTAGGAAGAAACAGTTTTAAATAATTCTGTATTTCATGAAAAAAGCACAGCCATTCAAGACACATGTATTTTCTCACCCTGCAGTTTACCAGATGAAAACTAGTACATGTGGCTGGTGAGCTAAGTCTGAGTAGAGGTTTATATGCTGCAGGCTCATGGTCTTTGTCAGTTCCTAGAGATCAAATATCTCAAAAAACCCCAGTACTCTTCATAGCATTGCCCATTTTACTGGAGAGCTGAACAGGCACGAAGTTAATTCCTCTTCCTGATAAATTCGATACAGAAATATGATTAATGATCCATCTTTTTTTCCTCTTTGCCGTAAGTAGGTAAAGGTCTTCACAGACTGCCTGCCCATAGCAACTTCTAAATAAATGGGTGCCTGAAGGCTGTATTTTGTTCTTAAATTATTGCTATAGAGAGCACTTTAAAACACTTCTGCCCTCCAATACTCAATTTCAATCCCTCCTTCTAGCAAAGTCCTATTATCTTAGAACAAAACTTGATTAGAGTTTTCTGCTTCACAACAGGATTTCTATGCATGTGTCATGAAAAGAAGCATTTTCCAAAAATGTCATTTTGTCAAAACTAAAAAGAGTAGCTATTGTCAACATCTAACAAAATTCTTTGGTTTGTCAATATATTTTCAAGCTTTACTTGTAGCTTTTGTGGAAAAAAAAAAAAGAAGTAAACAAACCCAGCAAAAAACCCCAGCAACAGAACTTCACATGGAACTGATACACGTGAGGATCTGGAATCACAGCCTGTCACAGAAAGTAAAGCCTAAATATTTACTCAGTAAAACAGCAAACTCCATGCAACAAGAGATTCTCCTTCCTTTTTCCTTTACCTAGGCAGATAAAATTGTTTTAAATGAGTATAGCCACAGACTATCAATAATAACATGTAACTGTTTAAAAAATGTGACTATTCAAGTTCCTTAGCACCATTTGATGATTTATTACCAGTCTCTTTCGATTTCACCTTTTCTGCACCAAGTGACTTCAAAATCAAAAGTGCCAGCATGCATCAATCTATAATATTCACAGTTAAGATATATTAGTAACTATATTTAGTAACACTGTGTGCTATTTGTTCATAGAGGTTATCAGGGTGATTTTTAAAAAATGTAAATCATGGTTACAGTTATATATTCATAACACATCCTCAGAACTGAAAGGAAAGCGAGAACGTTATTTTATTTCTTCTATTTTATAACGTACTAATGTTAAGTTCCATTTGCACCAGCTGCACCTGGTTACCACTGAAGACATTTTGTTGCCCTTCATCTCTTCACAGCTCATTAGCTGAAAACAGAGAGCAACTCTTGGGTCAGGAGCAGATGTATTATCAGTGTGCCTTGCACATGAAGAAAGCCGAGACTTGAACAGGGTCCCATGGGGTCCCTGGGTCTGTTTAAAGGCCATTGTAGTCTCTAGGCAGGCAGCTCTACCATGTGTTCCAAAAGACAGTTTTCCTTCTGGTGGAAACACTAGGAGCTGTGCAAAGTAGCCTCAGTAGGGCATTACTTAGATTATCAACAGGCATATGCCAGGAATTAAAGCAATTCCATGAAAACAGAATTTTCTGGCAAACTGTTGGCACAGTGTCTGCCTGGTTATCATGGAGCTTTTCTGAGGAACATCTGCAGAAGCTGTGTGAGTACACCAATGTTACAGCAATATCATCTGCTGTTCTGGAATGGCACTAATGGCAGCATCCAATGGCTGCTGAATACCTTTGTGCTTCAGGTGTCGGGTTTTCTCAGACTGTGGTGCAGGACACTGAGAAGTTGCATCTTTATTTTAAACTTTCAGTGTGCTTGTGTTTAGTCTCCACAAGAAATAGTTCCCAAAGGGTCAGATTTGCTTTTGATTGGTTATGTTTTCTAGCTCTGTCCTGGAGTTCAATATTCTGTGTATTGCTACAAAATGAGACCTCACAGGTATTTTATGAATGTATGAGTTAAGAGAACGATTTTCAATTAAAGCAAAATATTCAGTAAAGCTGTTATGCACAGCCAATCCCACCTCCCTCCCCTTTTTTTGTGTGTGTGTTTTCTTTGAAAATAGCATCTACATTTTCAATAACTAGACAATATTCAGGTACTGCACAGGAAGACAGCCAAAGACAGCAACCGTTCCCCAGGAAATGAAAAGAGCACATTATATAGATCTTATGCTTTTTATCTAACCACAGTTAAAGTACTAGATTTAGGATTTAGTTAGGTTCTTAAAGTTCATGGGTTCTGGAACTATAAAGCAGTTCTGATATTCTCCTATTTAGCCTTTTCCCCACTTTTGGACTATGTAGAATATGTAACTATTAAATGTCTAGTATTCAAGTCACAGATGAAAATAACTACATGGACACAGCATTGAAATCTGTAGAACATACTTAAAACCTAATATAAGGAGTTTTAAACAAAATATGTATAATTTTAGGGCAAGTGGAAGAACCTCAGCAGCAAAAGAATAACTGATCAGTTCCCCAAAAGGCGTATATTCGGCAAAGCTACATGGAATAACAGAATTAAACCAGCAGAATATGTATCCTTTCGTATCACATTTTGCATTTAACATTTGCAAACTGGAAATTTTCCCTAAACAAAATGTCAACCAAATTTTTTTCTTAAATGAAAGTGTGAATGAAGCTTCCTTGATGGGTACAGCTCAGAGAGCACCATAGGTACAGCTCCCTGACAGCGTGGGAGAGCAGTTTTTCACTTTAGCTTATCAAAATACTCTCTGTAGGGAGCTGTTCTATTCCTGAGTATGGCAGCACTGTGAGAAGGAAAAGAGGTAGTGAACGAGATGAGGAAAAAGGGGAAAAATAAATAACGGTGATTGCAGTGGGGTAGAAGTGCTTCATTCAAGTGGATCACAATGTTTTTTTTTATTCAGCAGCTGTTCACTGAGGTGTAGAAAGCTGTAAGTCTGCAAGGTCTCTTTGTCAGGAAAATGGTTGGAGAAAAGCTGAACATACTGTATCAGTAAATGCTTAATCAAAAGCAGAAGTTTCTTCTATACCTTTTAATACATATATATATATGTTTGTGTGCATATATAAAACAACCCAACAGCATTTTTCAGTTAAATTATGGTACATAAACCCGATTGTTTCATTGGAAAAGAGTCTATGTGTCTCCTCCTTGATACGTTTCCTCAACCTGTCCTGAGAAACAACCAATGAGATGAATCTCTCTGGTAATCATGGCAATCGTTTCACACTGGGAACAGAATACAAAGCTGCTCAGATCATACAAGAGGGCAGATTTTTCTCCTCACAATTTCAAATATTTCAGGGCATCGCAAGGAGAACATAAATATTTGATAACACTTACAAAAATCTAAATGTTCAGAGTAGATAAAACTCGTTCCCCACCTAGAGGTATGCCTTCCAACTTATTCCCTCATTACTGATTACAAACACACCTACTACAGTTCATTTTTCAAAGACGTCTTCCAAAGACAGAAAATTTCCATTGAGACGTACTCATCCTCCTTTTGAAAGTAAACAGATGCTTGACACGTGATCATACAAGATACAATGTGCATCTAAAACAGAAATTTGAGAAGGAAACGGAGAAAATCAAAGTAATGCTGACCAGAAAGGCAAGACCAGAGCTCAGCTCTACCATATCTGGCCAAGCCGTGGCACAGGCGGTCACCAGCTGGGGTTGTGGCCCACTTTTATTTGTCTGAAAAACAGTTTTCCCGCTTTTTAAAGTCAGGCTTGCAGGTATGGTTACCTAAATAATTTGCAAATAAGAAGACATCGCAGCAGTTTTGAGAACAAGATTGTGCTGCTGATATGGATGTTCACAGCTCTCAGGGGCATTATGAGAATTGCACAGGCATTGTAAGGGATGAATTTGTGCCCCAGGAATTTAAGATTAGAGCTGGACCAGGCAATAACCTTACCTTAACACATCAAACCCTATTCCCAACAAAACATATCAGCCTGATACTCTAGTATGTGTTGGTGTTTGGTTCAAAAAACACCCAACCACCCTCTAGGGTAGTGAATGATCTTGTGTGAGAAGGTGACTCCCGCAGCACTGACGCTGCATCTCGAGTTGGTGACATTTCAGTGACTCCAGCGGGAATCAGTAGGCTGCAGTAAGGACCTAAAAAGGTTACAGGTGAAGACAGGCTGGCCTGCTGGTGGAGGCGGGAAGGAAGGCCCCAATGTCAAACTCGCCATCGTGATGGAGCCCCAGAATGAACCTTCTCCGGTCATGCAGAAACCTTCACATCAACCAACACAGTTTCATTTGTTTCCACCACTTTTTCACAACACGAACATGTCCCCCTTCCTCCCTCCCCCCAGCCCCCCAAACCCCTCCTTTCTGAACATATCGACAAAAGGAACAGCAAAATAAATAAATAAAGACTTAGCCTCTGCTTCGGGGAAGCCGCCTCTCCAGGTTTCTGCATTGGCGGTGACCCGGCTGGAGCTGGTAGGCATCAGTTTTCACGGCAAATGGTGGGTGTGGAGGGGGCCAGTGGCTCCCTGGCCCTGGAGGCAGGCTCCAGGCTCAACTGTCTGTCTCAGCCGGACGCCCCCGGCTGTCATTGCACCAGCCTCGAGCCGTAGCTGAAGGCGTAGCTGCTGGCCAACGAGAGGGACTGCTGGTGCTCTTCGTCCTGCTCCGAGGGGTAGCTGGGAAATGTCTGCGCCCGGGACACCTTCGCTGAGCTGAGGCTGTGACCTGGAGTGAGGGAAGACATGAACACAAAAGATGTCACTGGGGGGCTTTGAAGCCTTTCACCATGGAAACGGACTCGGATGGACTAAGTTTATACAGCCCCACTGTGCCAGGGTGTCTGGAGACCAGCCATGCTGCATTGGGTCCCCCTGGGGCTGCAGAAGAGGGTATTCCCTGTGGCTGAGGGCACAAGTGATTGATGGATTCCTGACAAAGGCAGACCCAACTCAGGCATAATTTAGGGTCAGAATTTTTTTAAAATTCTAGAGTGTATATTTTCTACTCTATAAGTCTCAGTCATGAGACTTAGAGCTCACAAATGCTCTTTTTTATCTGAAGCACTGCTCAAGCGGTAGAAGTAATGCCAGAGGCTTCAAAGGGATTAGTCCCACAAATGCCGCTTCATGTGCTTACTTGTCCTTCAAACAGGATGCAAGTTTGTCAGGTAAACACAGCATAATTGTCATTTCAAAATGCACTGGAGGTGGAATATGGTGCACATGGCAGAATACTGGTTGGGAAGTGGACGTACAAGATATTTTTTCAAATGGGCTTGTGAATCTCATTTAACCATGACTTCCAACAACAAGATGGGAAACCATGTGTGAAAAGCCAGTGATGAAATTCAGGTGATGCTTATGACCCAATAAATATTGTAACTTTGATCATTTTCCCATCTCAGAATACCCTTTTGAAATTGACATTTAATTAGTAACAAAAAGGAAACTTCCAAAGTGTGTATCTTCATGCAATACATAGTCTTTTTTTTTTTAAATGTATATTGAAGCTTGGATTTAAAAGGGTTTTGCATAATGCTTTTAAAAATGTCTTTAATACATGTATTATCTGTAGGAATGCAGAATTCATATTTTTACTTAAACCACAGAGATATTAAAAAATAGCTGAAATAGTATAGACACAAACAGTAAAGAATTTAGCTTATGTTGAAATGTTTATAAACAGTCAGCAGCTTTCTAGACTGGCTCAATAGTGCCAACCACGAATAATGTTCACTGGATTTGGGAAAACTTTGTCATAACTTGCATTTGGAAAAGTTTGATTATGACATGTTACTGATTTCCTCATGAAAAAAAATCATGACTTCTACTGAACGGAGTCTATCAAGCAATGCTTGGACCAAGAGAGCAAAAAACCCCAAGTAAATGAAAAAGAGAATAAAAGGTACATCTTAGTGATGCTGGAGACAATAAAACTAGAAACTGAATTTCGAAGTGACATGTCAATGGTCATAAAAATCCCTTTCATAGCACAACCAAACAGGACGAATTTTTAAAAGAATTTTTACTATTTGTCAAATCGACGTTGGCTATCAAAACTTGACTGAGATGAGAGGTTTAAATGTTTTCTTCTTCAAAAAGCTTTTGCATCAAACTGAATTAAAGTGTAACAAGGCAAAAGCACTGATAATGTTTGAGAATAGTTTTAAAGGTTTTATTGCTTTGTCCAGCTTTTAACCATGATATTAAGTAAAGCCTTCATGAATTTTTTACTTTTATTTGGGATTTGCATCACTGTTATTGTGAGGGGGTTTGTTTTTAATTTAATGCAAACCTAAACATAGGAAGTTGCAAGATTGTAGGGTTTAATTTTGTGTTCCATATCTGGCATTTTTCCTTCTAAGGATGTAAAAATTTTTGTTTTCTTATTACCCAGAAGCTAGAATCATTGTATTTTAAGGGCCATAAGGAATGGCTAAACCAGCCGTATGATTTCCTATGTAAAATTTGTCTCTTTCTTACTAGTAAAGATAAATAAAATATGTCAAGGTATATTTAACTCCATTCTCTTAATGTATTTTATCCAAAAAAATGTAAAACAGCCCCTATGACAACAATCAGAAGTAAGGAAACTTACCAGCCAAGGGAGTTCCCTAAATCCAGGCCTTTTTTTGTCATGTGCTGTATCTCATATAGCTAATTTAGAATTCACTTTTGTAGAATAGTGCAACTTTAATACAGTGATGAAGAGAGCCCCTACTAAACTAATTTCTAGCTAAGGAATTAAGGGAGTCTCTTAGAATGTAATTGACCCTATTAGGTTTAAAAAGGAAATTAAATTCAGCTCTTTCATTTCTTGTATACACGCCTCAAAAGTTAGCACATCCTGTACTGTTCTTTAAAAGAAAATTTCTAGCTGCTAAATCTCACAAAAGGGCTGATTTTAGCCATTCTGTAACCAAAGCGGTTAATGAGGATAAGTGACTTCTCTCCTGACTGCTAGGATATGTAGTGAAAGAGCAGAGAGACACATGGACCCCAAAAATTTAAGGCACGCTTAATGGAGCCAAGAGGTCTAAGACACATGGTAGATGCTGAAGTTGAACAGTATGATGGCAACCTACGAAAATAATAGCAAAAAGAATAGATGGCATTGGTTCAAATGAAATGAGAAACCTATGGGTAATAGAGAATTTTTGAGTTTAGGAAAGAAAGGATCTATGCAATATGCTTGCTTTCAACTTACATTTTTTTAAAAAAGCAATTAATGATGTTAATACACTTCAATAAATGAATAAAAATTAATAATTGTGGCAAAATAATATCCAATGGTTCCAAGTTGGCTTAAGACTTCTAAGTAGTAAGTTCCCAAAATTTTGGAGTTTTTTCCAGCTTTTTATTAAAATTCAGTATATCACATACTGAAAATTCTTTTATTTGCATTCCTACTAAATATTATTTTAATACTCATACAGCTGATCAACCTCATGGAGTATTAGGTACTACAGTGTCCCCAAAGTTAGGCTTCATGTCAGCAGTAAGGATTTTGAAACTAAAGATACAGGGGAAGTTTTTGCAGTAAAGAATTCATAGCTTTCTAAACTTTTGGCTTCAGTCATATTCGGGCTCTAAAAGGTTTAGAGAGAAGAAGAATGCTGTTTGTGGATTTTTCAGCTCTTTTGTACCACAGCTGTTTTCAAGAATACAAAACCAAGTCTTGTCCACAATTCTTCTGAAGTCAGCATAAGATGAATTTGATTAACACACACTTCATGACCGGAAGACACCAAGAGTACTGGAAGAGTTTTTTTCATGTGGCTTACAGAGGAAATGTTTTTTTTTTTTTCTATTCTAGGACAGGACCTTGGAAACATGAGCATTATTCAGCCTACTTCATCCTTTATTCAAATTTACTCTCAGGATTATAGAATGCAATGAAGCTATAGTCCAAAGCAATTAGGTATGAATGATCCATCAAGAAAATTTAATGTAACCCAGCAAATTACACTAAAATTAGATTTTTCCTGATCTTAATTATGTTGGAAGCAGAGGCAGTATACACAAGGATCTTATTTCATGGCATGGTGCTTATTTATAACAATTCTTTAGAGGAAAAACCCAATGGTTTCCTAGTAACAGCAGTGACTGATGTACATATAAGTAGATCGATCACAACTTCTGAGAGAAAACTTGCAGTACCCAGCTAAATGAAAAGGAAAAAAAAAAAAAAGAGGAGAAGAGATCCAGGGAAAAGCTTTAAAAGCTCCCTTACAGCTGCTTATTGGGAGATGTTTCTCTCCATTTTGAATTCAGAATTTAAATTCTTAACCAGAAGGCAGGTGCTGAACTTTTTTCTTTTCTAAATGAAATAAAGGTCACACTTTCCTTTTCTAATACAAGAATTCAAGGGATTCTCATCTGATGTTCTTTGGTTAGAGCGCTCATCTCTGATGTACAAGTCCTGTGTTAAAATTCCCCTCTGCCTGTGGGTACAGTTCGACATTGCATTTTCTGTAAAAAATCAGCTGAAAATGTTCCCTTTCTCCTCTGTACCGACACTGCTGTTCACTGCCCCTCAGTTGTGCCATTGCGACTGAAAGACTGCTTTGTAGACTGAAGGGCTTTGGTCATCTCCTTTGCAAGAGCCCTACAAATCACTGTATTGGCAAAGCCGAGGACCAGGAACAAGCAGCCAAGGGTAAGAGATTGGCAGGGGTTTCTCAGGCTGGTTTTAGTGCCAGTTTGTTTGGCGAATGATGACCCGTGGGCAATGTGCAACCAAACACAGCTGAACGCAACTGCCACCGGAATAATTACGTGACTGAGGAAGGACCACTTTTGAAACCCTCTGACTAAGCTTTTCTAATACAAGATCTAAAATAAGTTTACATTTATGCAGTACAATGATTAAAAATTAATAGAACCAGAGACTCCAGTGTTTCAGCTTCTGTTGCAGGCCTTTAATTACCTCATATGAGATACTCATTGGGCAAAATAAAGAAAGAGACTTTTGCAGCTGCACAGCAAGCTTTCATCTGGGATTTCTTAACCTCTGAACAGATGACTTTACGAACAAAAGGATGTAATTCTAACGCAGTTTTATTTTTCTATGTAATAATAATACATTTATTTTTGAAAATAAAATTTGACATTTCCATTTCCAAGATTATGAGCACAAAACTGAAGTCATTAAATTAGAGCCCATTGGATATCTTTATTAGTACTGTGTTTTGTACTGGGAGTGCTCTGAGACTTCATGAGGACAAGAGTTCTGTGATTGCTATAGATGTTTCTATAAATGTTACAGAAAAACATGGTTGCTCAAAAGAAATTTCTGTGAATCAATCAGTGCAAGCTAGGACCCAATAAAGTGAATCACTTATTTCATTGTAAAGCAATCTTTTCTTTTTAGAAATATTAATTGGAAAATTCTGTTGTTCACAATAAACAGAACAGTCTGGAAAACACATAAACGAAGATGATGGGATTTCATCCTTGCACAAAGGATAGTGCAAGGAGGTGGAAAAAACCCAATTAGCTACCAGATGTTTGAGGAATGAACATTAGTAAGAAGGAGTTAGTTCTATGTTGTTTCCTCACACAATTCTCATTGAACAATATAAATGTAGCTCTTGAGCCAGAAAAGTTCACAAAACTAGTACCAGTCTTTAATCTAGGTTTATATTCTCTATGGACTTTCCCAACAGCAGCAAAAAATCCTATTTATACCAAAGGAGGCCCACAAATTGCACTGAGGATATTACT